GGCGGGGCTGGGGGAAGGCAGCCTGGTGAGGAAGAGTTGCAGTGAGGGCAGGGGCCAGGACTGTCCCTGTCCCTGTGGCTGGCATGGGCTCGGTGCCCAGTGGTGCTGAGCTATGGGGACTGAGGAAGGGGACACACTGGGCCTTTGGTGCTGACGGTCACCGCGGGCTGTGTGATTCCCATGGCACCGATGGCCTTTACAGCCCAGGTTTGGAAGGGCCCCATCCTGGACACAGCATCCGCTGCCCCAGGGCTGCCCCAAGGCAGGCACAAGATATGTGTCCCGTGGACACTCAGCTGCCCAACCAATCTTTCTGTTGGAGTAAATGCAATTTCACTATTTCTTTTCCTATTTCTTGCTAGGCAAATGTATTCCCCAAAGCTACTCCAGCACCGGGCGAGGTTCGGGTTGTCCTGCATGCTTACAGCGGCACAGGGAGAGCGGCACGGTGGAGCACCGGGTCTGCCGGTGCTGGGGGCAGCTGAGACCCTTCCTACAGCCGTATCTCTGTTAATTGCCTGAACGTCCTGAGGCCTGGGAGCGTTGGCTGAGGATGGCCTGCTGCTCTCGGGGGTACCAAAATGAGAGCACATCACCTTCGAAGCGTATGTTGAAAGCCGTGGCGGCCGCGGGCTCCTCCGCAAGAAAGTCGATTCTGATGGAGGAGCCGTCGCTGATGACCCCTTCGAAGGGCACGCTGTCGGCACGCAGCGAGTCGTAGAGGATGGCGGACTGGTTCGTGTCCCCGCTGTACACCACCATCCTGCATGGGAGGACATGGCATGTTACATGGGAGAAGTGTCCCTGCGCCCCTCCCCGGAGCATCGCCCGGCCCCCCTCCTTACCAGCTCCTGCTCTCCAGTGCTCCTGGAATATGGCATTTTAAAGAAATTGTGCAAACAAAAATTCACCAACCAGATAAGTCTCTTTTACTGTGTCATAAACAGGGGCTTTATTCTTTGATTTTAGTACAAGCCATAAACCTGCTTTACTGCCTCTTACCAAGCTGAATGTTAATGCTGTTTAAACACAAGCATCAGCACCATAAGCGTGTGCTTTGTGTTATGGATGCGGATAGCGTGGGACGTGCAGCTTCTTGCGCCGTGGTGCTGAGCAGTGCTGGGCATTGGGTATTTGGGGGAAGGAAAGGATGAGTGCGATGCACACACTGCATCACCCCACAGCTAGCGGGATCAGGAGACCTGCAAGATCCCTTGGCACGAAGCGCAGGGCCTCAGGGTAGCAGGGGCTGGTGCTCTGCGCCTGCTTCTTGCAGCTTTTTTTGCTCCAAGACCTGTCATGCCTCCTCAGCACTTAAACACCTAAATCAGGAACCTCCTCTTCTGCACCGAGACCCTTCTCTGCCCTTGTCCCCACCATTCTCGGGCTGGCAGCCTCCTCTATGCCGCACCCCGAGCTCGGGTCGGTGCTGCCTCCCGGGACACCCACAGCCCAGGCACTAGGAGGGTGGGAGGTGGGGGAGCTGAGACCAGCTGGGACCTTCCAAGCTTTGGTATATTTAGCACCCAGCAAAGCAGCCTGCTCCTCACCCCGGGGCACAGCAAAGCTCTCCGCAGTCCCAGGGGTGCAGGGAAACGGGCTGACCACAGACCTCACTGCCGGCCAGCAGCACCCGGGCACACAAGCAGCTCCTGGAGCCTTACCTGTCCTTCTCGGTCAGCAGGAGTTTCTCGAAGTGTAGGTGTAGCTTCTGGCCCAGGGGAGCCCCGATTGCCCACACGCAGTACATGCTGCTCGACTGGTTCCCCGTGTAGCTGGGCGAGAGGACGCGGCCGATGGTGGCATTGTGGATCGTCCCGCCCCAGGGTGCTGCCCAAC